AATTCTAAACCCTTTTTTTTTTTTAACATATGTTTTGTTTATCTTCCGTGTCCAGAATGAACACAGCGGGGAGCATATCAATAGTCGGGACGCAAAGGAAATTGCTGATATCATCACCAAGCGACTGCAGCATCTGTTACCACAGTTACATAACAAACCAAAGGTAAACACCAAGATCATGGTTTTTTTTTTTCATTCATATTATACACATGTGTATATATATGCAGTGTATATATATATATATATATATATATATATATATATATATATATATATATATATATATATATATATATATATATATATATATAGTTGACTTGTAACTACAAAAATGTGATGTTTTTCAGGACGAACTTTGACATCAGCGGTGGCTCAGTCAGGTTTGACGATGATGCAGGATCACTGGTTGTTGCTCTGATGATGAACAACAATAGAACACTCCGTTTTTAGCCGCGTCTCCATGTTTTATTTATTTACTCTATGGAGTAAATCTGTGCAACACTACTTATGTTACACATACACACACACACGCACACGCACTCAAAAATGTACCTGGTGTTTGTGGGTTTTATTGATTGTGCAGAAACTGTTGAAGCTTCAGAAATAAATATTATGTTTTTTTTATAATAAAACTAAAACATTTTTAATTTATTTCACGAGTTTCACGGTAATTTTGTTAAATCTCTCGGCCTCCATCGTTTTAAGATGGTCTGATGAGGTGTCACTTTTACAATTAGAAAGATTTCAGAAAAGAAAAAAAAATTGGTCCAATCATCATCTGGTCATTTGAAGAATAATGACCCCTTCATCTGGGTTCATCCTCTTCAAGCAACCCAACTTGTAAACATCTTAGAACTATGAAATACTACATTTTTGTTTGTGAATCCAGAATCCAAAAAAAAAAGTCCTTAAAAATTCATTCAAAAATCATTTGCAAGACATCTACATCAAATAATCAAATTACTCGATATGAATTAGATCACTTTTTTTAATGTGATGTGTGACATTTACAATTAATTAATTAAACAATTATTTCATGCATTTTTAAATTTTGTTTATATGCCAAATAATATTTTTTATGGTACTGTGTTAATTGTCTTAAGACAAGATGTTAGAGTAAAAAAAAACAAACTTTTCTTAAAAAAAAAACTTCCTAGTTTTTGCAGCAGGTGTCAGTGTTTACACAGGAAACTGGAGGTAAACCAGTGAATATGCTGACGAAGGAGAAAAAAGAAAAGGTTCAGGCAGAATCCATGAAAAGTCCATGTTTTTTAATTGGGTAGTTTTG